TCTCTCTCTCTCTCTCTCTCTCTCTCTCTCTCTGTCGGCAGCTCCCGCGCTTCCTCGCTCCCTTGCTTTTTCGCTATTCGACTCTTTCCCTTCACGCGCGCTATCCCCCTTCCATTTCGCTCTCTTTTCCCTCTGCTAACGTCGTATCTGTCTCTCTCAGATTCACACCGTCATATTCCCCCCTAACTCCTCTGACATTACTTTTCCTCTCTCCCTCCGCTATCTCCCCTCGCCTTTCACTTCCCGCACTCCCCCTGCTTCCCTTCTGCCTTTGCGCAAACCAGCAATGCTTAGATTTCGTCACTTCTATAGGGGCCCTCACATTTTATAGAATAAGCAAAGCAAATCTGACTGTATAACAAGAGGACAGTTTCGAATGCAAAACCCAGCTCAATAGTTAGCTGTATAGTCTGAATTGACATACTAATCCTGGTACAGTTGAGCACTTAAAACAGGATAACTTTATAGTTTTGCAGATAAAACTGTCATTTTGTTATGAGTTCGATTGGCAGAGCAGTATTGGATCAAGATCAACCAAACAATAAAAATAGACGGTAGCAAAACGCTATGTCAAGCAGCCCAGAATATTTAACGAAATACAACACTGGAATTTCAAAGGAGCTGGCATCTTTGTAAATTTTCAATAAGTTACAGCATTTCAAAAATGTAAGTTACAGCCACCGCTTTAAATTTGTGACAGAATATTCTAGATGGGAGAACAAAACAAAATCTATACATGGTGAAATTGCACCAAGTAAACTTTAAAATTTGAGTTTGTAACATTTTGAATGCAAACAAAACTCGTCGTCCATTAAAAACGATATACTTCTAAGGACTTTAAGACTGTCCTGTGACTGCATACAAACTTGTAGCACAAATTTTCGTTGTTGCACATCCAGCAACACTGAAATCTGGTTTGCCATAGGCCTACTTTTGCTGAATTTTTGCGATCAACTTGTGTATTGCGATTCCCATACACTCAGTGGCATGGCAACTTTTCATCGCAAAGTGAATTGCAAAAATATTACTCTTTTTCAAGAATTTGTGAAAACATTTTGAAATAAAAAAATTGTTGCACATTATTTTTGCTATCAAAATACAGTTTGCCATAAAAAGTTACGATGCTCTTTATCAATGTGAATCGTATAATCAACAGAGTTATCGCAAACGTTTGATGTCGCTAAAACACCCTTCCGTGAAATTAACTTTAAAATATATTCAAATTTCAAATTTTATTGGGTTATTTTTTAATGGCATAAATGTAGTGAATTTACAATGTTTTTCACAGTGGTTATTGAACTGTGAAGAATTCCGGTGGCCGGAATATTGCGGGTAGGGTGTGTGAGAAAACTTCCCCAAGATACCTCATTGCGCCAGTTCAATCTCAGCAAACCTTTCAACACACCACAATCTATTTTCGAACCCATATACCGTATAGTGAACAACCAAAGGGACTCAACGCTGACAGTCATGTAATATAATTTAAATGGAAGTTTAGCCAACCGGTGGGAATTTGTTCGACCTGATTTAGCTCTTACCAACCTTTCACACAGTGAGGTTATCCAACGCCAAGCAAAGACAAGTTGTTTTGGGACATCTTCACTTGTCTGCTCACGACAGTAGTAGTGCCATTCCATGTCGCTGTTGACAGAAGCCTCATCCTGGTCCCGTCCAATGCTCCCTCAGCACTTTCTTGACAGATTTGCAGCACGGACGCACAGGTTTACGCCATGTGTATTTTCATAGCGCGCTCCGGGTGGAAGATAGGAGGTCCTCACGAGGACCAGTAGAGTGCCGTCGCCGTCATCCTGGGTGGGTCTGCTTGTCTCTAGACAGAGGTCGCACGGCGACCCGGGCCACCCTGGGGCCGGCAGCACAGGTGGCAGCCACGCCCACACGGCGGCGCTTGCTGATTCTCAGTCCAACGGCACGATGATCCATGGCAGCACTCTCCTCACTCTCACTTCATATCACTGCAACTCTTTTTCTTCGACGGGAAGCTGCTGCTGCCGGTGCGTCCGCGTGCGGCTGAGCGAGGCGATAGACTGCGACTGGAGGTGCGGAGGAAAGGGTTGAGCCGGCGAGGGGAGAGTGCAGGGGGGCGGGGTCGGG